TGGTTTATTGTGTTTTTTTATTGTGTTCGCATTTAATTTCATTTGTGTTATTGTATTGTATTCATTGTTCGTATTAATGTGTTAATTGAATTGTGGATAAAGTTGCAATTAAGGAAACTAGTGTAGCCACGTGAGAACCACAAGGGAACATCCCACAATACACATATTTTTGACTCCGTGTAAAAAAAGGCTAAGGCAACACTGGACGCATAAAATACCTTTTGGAGGCACATGGTGAATTTTGCGAAATGTGCAATGGTAGAATGAAAAAAGGGATGGTATGTATACGGTCATATTTGCTCTATTCTGTTGGTAACTTTGCAGGAGATTGTGTATGACTGTAGACAAATTACTGAGCGTGACAACGAAGCTAACAGCAACCGATTAGCCATTGTGATTAGTCAAAGTAGTTCAAGCATCAGTCTAGTATGACGCTGTGCTACATGGTTCACGGACTCAGTAAAATTACGCTCTCCAACCAATGCGAGGTCATTGAATAATAAAGTATCATGGAGCCAAATGGTATCACTCTCAAAAGGATGTGATAGGAAAGCTACACGAAGAGACAGAAGTCAAAACACTGGGGCACTAGATCTTGCAGCATTTAATTAATACACTGAAATTATCGCAAATCCGATATGCTACGACTGCTCGAGCATATTTCTGATACATTTACTACCATTTTAAGAAGCGTCCTAACCGTGTAAAAACATTTGGATGAAAAACAAGTAGCTGCGCAGAAAAGCGGAGACTCTAGGGCTGAAGGAAAATCTGATTAATGTGAAACCACTTCCAGGCCTGTGAATTACGCGATCTGTAGAGAGATAGTGCTGAAAAAGCTGCTCTCTGAAAGTTGGTATTTCATGGGTTCCATCCATTTTGACGCGTTTGAACCTACCGCTCTCTAACGAAGGTGTGATCAGCTCATTTTCGCCTCGTTCGTTCTTCCAATGCAAGAAGACGTTCATCGCCCCCGCTTCAGTTACCTGAAAGAAATGGAGACGAGGCTATTGTTTCACCCCCTAATTTATTATTCCCCTAATTTAAAAATCTACTAATCTACTTTGGATAACACTTATATAGCGAGCTACTTGGTTAGTATGACCCTCAGTTGCCTGTCTGCTCGACTGAACACATCTTTATGTCTTTTCACAAAGAGAGTAGAAGTTTATGACAGAAAAGCTAGTGAGAACACCTTTTGATATCACATAGCGTATTAATCGAAAATCAATAACTGTCAAAGTCCAATGTCCAAAGTCCGTAAAGAAGAGTGCTGAATGCGATTGGATGATTCAGCGTTGTGCTGCCCAACTTTTGGCTGTCGCAATCGAAGGTCTTCACTCTTCTGGTGCTTGTCATAAAGTCATGTCTTCAGCTCAGATCGACTCAGTCCGAATGTTTATATTGGAACAGCGTCCCAGTATTGTATAGGAGAATTACATTACCCACACTGGCGGGTAATAAAAGGAAAAAACAGATGTCGGCCATCAGAGGAGGAGTCTAGGAAGCGTCGTCGGGTAAAGGAAGATATGAGGAGAGCGCAAAGCCATGTTAATGGAATTTGATTAGAGCAGTGTTGAACCGCTGCTCTAGTGTTGAGAACCTTTTCACAGAAGAAAGCGTCACAACACGACTGTTCACAGTAAAATCGACTGATTCCTGAGTAAAATACGGAGCCCTCCGGGCTGCGCGACTTCCCAATTTTCATCTCTTTACAGCGTGCAGTTTCATCCATGACGATAGTAACCGAAGGCGAGAAGGAAATTGGTAGAGGGCTGAACCGGTCATTGGATCGAAAAGCCGTTGTCAAAAAGAAGCCTGTGCTATGGAGAGAGTGCCCGTAAATATGTAGGTCACGCAATTTGAAAAGACCGCCGGATGGATGACGGCCGTTGCTTGTGAAGTTACGATATATGTCATGATCAATTAAAAATAGGTGTCTTGGAAGCTGAGACCGGGCCAAAGGTCAGAATTGGAAGCAAATTTAACCGCTACGATCAATTCTTAACTGTTTGCATGCTGTTGCTTTGAGTGTCGACTAAAAACGTGGAATGCGGAAAAGGGTCGGCACAAAAAGAAGACAAATCCCTCGAAAATAAATCTTGTAGCATAGTTACAATAGCCGTACTAAGAATAAAAGCAAGAGCTATAGCGTCAAAGCGTCACGTAAATTCAAAGAAAGGTACTGGCTGTCGCCATCTCAGAGGATGTTGCATAGCCTTTGCTAGCATGGCGGAACGGAGACCTGCTCTGATGGCGAAAAACAAACTTGTTCCTCATAGTAGCTTGAACAATCTTGAGAAGCCATCTTGACATATCGTTTGCTTACTTGAACGACTCGCTTCCATTCACGTGCGAGCACGAGCGATTGATCATTCGCGACTGTCTTTCGCGGTCTCCATTCACGGTAGGCTCAGAATTAAACGAGGATGGTGTCGTGAGGAAACATGCAGGTGTGTTTGCAGCTGTCTCTGTGATCGACAGCATATCCCTCGTCTCGCAGCAGGCCTGCTCTTACGTTAAGATCCTACAGGAACTCACTCGACTGTTCTCCTTGTCCATCTGTCATCATCTGTTCCCATGATAAAAGCGGCCCAGCAAGGTTCAGAGTTTTTCATGTATTTCACCGGATTATCGAAGCTGCGGTGTCGGAATCAATTGAGCCGGTTGCTCTTCAAAAGGGATCGCTTAAGTGCTCTGTCACTCATGCTCAAAGCCCTTGACGTGAATGCACTGGTTAGCCAAGTCTCCAACCCATAACAGAGGGCACGAGGAGCTGTGGAATCGAACAGATTAACACAAAGTTCCGGATCAGCCAGTTGGTTAACGATTTCATCCAAAAGTCCGAAGACTGCCTATGCTGCTTTTCGCCGTCTCATCAGCCTTTCCTTCATGTCGTTTTCCAAATTATGCAACCCTCGAGGTAAACGTAAAACGAGGGCTACTCGACTCGGGACTCGGTCCACCATTGATCTTAATTTGACATTCCCCACCAAGCGTTTTTCACTAACTCTGTATTTGTTCAGTTAAACCTCCTCACACCTACCTTCTTGCCTGCTCCATTGTGTTCAGCAAGCATAGTCTCAGCTTCCGCAACGCTGCTTGAAAAGAGGACGACGTCGTCCGCAAATTTGAGAGGTAGATTTGAGAGGAACCGTCCATCCACAATGATCCTTTCGCCCCAATCTAGCGGTCTCATAACCCACTGCCGCGCGGCTGCGGAATAGTGTCACCTTGTCTTACCCCTTTCTCCTTGAGAATGGGGAGAGGTCGTTGGGACAGCTTCACCGTCGCGCTGCAACGTCTACTGCAGTCAGATGGTGTTCTTATGTTATGGAAGATCCACTCCTTGTGTGTGCTGACAGGACCGCGATCGATGCCGTGAAAAGCCTTTTCATAATTAACAATGGTAAGGTCAAGAGGCATCCGGAATTTTCGGCACACATTACGTGACCATTGTGACCGCTTGGATGTGGTCTGAGTAGTCGAATCTCTTCCGGAATGCGACCTGTTCTACGGGCTGAGCTTCATCCAATGCTCGCGATATGCGGGTCAGAATGGTCTTCGTGAACAATTTGCAAAGTACACCCAACAAGTTTATTTGGCAGCAGCTGCGAAGATTATCGGTCTCCCTTCTTGTAAAGAGTGACCATCCGCGAGCTTCTCCACTGGTTGGGGATTTTCTCCTCTGGAGGTAGGATGTCACACGTGTTCTCAAAACGCATGAAATTCGTAAACACCTGCATGACGTAGGTTGGCTGAGATCTTGTCGTATTTGGAGTAATGCCTCCTTTCAGCTCGGATGGCAACTCTCACTTCCAGGAGGGATCTTGTTATGTTTCACAAAAAGGGATTTTTGGTTTTCGCACGTGTTTCGTGGATCGGTAGAGGTTGGTGTCAAACTTCCGTGTAACTTCCTCCATCTCAAATTTTAGATGTTGTAAATATTCCGTCCTCCTTCTCCAAGCATAGAAGTGGAATACTGTGGTTCTGAAGATCCCGATGACATTTTCTCAGACTAGTTTTGTTCAAGGCTGTCTCAAGTAGTCTCCTTTCCCTGTATGGCTGAAGGTCTCGCCGCACTTCCTGTCTGCAACTGACATTTGCTTACAGCCTTTCGAGGAAGATCCTTCGCCGCATCTGAAGTGCGAGCAGTGGTATCTACTCAGGGGGCTTAAATGTTAGCACAATTGTGGAGACCTCAAACCAGCGCGTTGTAGTCTTTGGTCCTGCCAGCCATATCGGGACAAAGCGTCATTCAGAACATTTTAGTCGTATACAACATGCTTCGAGCCCATTGCACGATGGTAAGAGATCATTTCCAGTCTGCGACTGTTTCTGATCTTAACGTAAAGGAGCCGATGATCAAAGCCACTGCTGAAAGATGGTACTATTTTCTGGGTACTTTCTGTATCCTGAGATACCAGGGCTCAAATGAGAAAGACATGGTGATCTTTCTCCACTCATTCTAGACAGACGGTTTTTCTTCACACAGTCTAGACGAACCTCTGCTGGTTCATATATGATTTACGATCTTCTCAGCGATAGATCTTGTGGCAAAAATTGTCAATTATTCAGCTTCATTTCCTCCATCGCTAGAGGCGTTCAGTTCAGAATGTTTTTTCTTTTTGAACCCAGCACAACCTTCCTCTGTTGGAACAGGTCTTGCTCGACACATTTCACTGGATCTAGCAAACTGAATTGGTTCAGACCCTCGAAAGTCCATCAGACGCTACAACCAGTTCAAAGACAAGGCATGATTGGTA